CGTTTTTGTAAATGTATTTTTTAAATTATACCATTATGTTATTTTACAAGAGGGGAGTAATCCTATTCATATTCTCTTCCAATTTTCTATTGGAAAAGAAACCAACCTTTGCACACCAAAGGAAATCATAAAACCAAAAGACAGCCGAAGGTGCAGGTTCAAGCCCTGATTAGGGAACTAAGATTCCACAAGCTACGTGAGATAAAGTATTTGCAAACCAAGCGACCAAGAAGGGAGTAATTTACAAAACATATAGCTTATGCAAGCTCAATATCAAAAAAAGAAACAACCCAATCAAACAATGGGTGGAAGATCTAAATAGACATTTCTCCAAACACATACAGATGGCAAAAAAACACATGAAAAGATGCTCAACATCACTCATTATCAGAGAAATGCAAATCAAAACTACAATGAGATAACATTTCATACCAATCACAATGGCCATCATCACCAAATCTACAGACAAATTAATAAATGCTGGAGAGGGTGTGGAGAAAAGGAAACCTTCCTACACTGTGGGTGGGAATGCACATTGGTACAACCATTATGGAGAACAGTAGGAAGGTTCCTTCAAAAAATATAGAACTACCATTAAGAGAATACTTTTCTCTATGATACACCAATTTCCTTCTCTGTTATAAAGTAAGGCTGGCTTTATTCTAAGCAATGGCTTTCATTTATTTACTTTTTTTTTAATAGATATTTCTTTTTTTTTTTTTCATTTATTAGTTGGAGGCTCTTCTCTTAATGGTAGACTTTTAAATTTTAGGCTTTCAAGTATGTTTTTTGAAATGACTGCCTAATATTTAAATATTTTCAAACTCTGATTCAAAAAATAAAATAAAAAAGAATGGAAAAAAAAATACAGAACTAGTCATATGAGCCAGCAATCCCACTCTTGGGCATATATCCAGAGAAAACTTCAATTTGAAAAGATACGTGCATCCCAGTGTTCATGCACTGTTTACAATAGCCAAGACATGGAAGCAACCTAAATGTCCACTGACAAAGGAGTGGATAAAGAAGATGTGATACTTACATACAATGGACTATTACTCAGCCATAAAAAACTAAATAATGCCACTTGCAGCAACATGGATCAACCTAGAGATTATCATACTGAGTAAAGTAAGTCAGACCACAAAAAGGTAAATATCATATCATACCATTTATATGTGGAATTTATAAACAAAAAAGGTTCAGATGAACTTATTTAAAAAACAGAAATAGAGTCACAGATGTAGAAAACAAATGTGTATTTACCAGGGGGCGGGGGAAGTGGAGTGGGTAGGGAGAAGGGATAAAACTGGGACACTGATTATTGATATATACACACTACTATATATAAAATAGATAACTAATTAAGGACCTTCTGTATAGCACTCTATACAGAACTCTACTCAATACTTTGCAATTACCTATAAGGGAAAAGAATCTGAAAAAGAGATACATGTAATATATAAATGATTTATTTTGCTATACATCTGAAACTAACACAACATTGTAAATTCACTATACTCCAGTAAATTTTTTTTAGTAAATTTTAAAATGTTTTAAAAATTAAAAAGCCAACATGATATTGAAAAAGAACAAAAGCAGAACTCAGAGTGCCTAATTTCAGATTAACAGTAATCAAAGCAATGTGGTTCTAGTATAAAGAAAGATTTATATATCAATGGAGCAGGACAGTCCAAAAATAGACCCACACATACACTGATTCTCACCAAAGATACAAAGGCAATCTAGTGGAGAAAGGATAGTTTTTTTTAAACAAATAGTGGTGGAACAATTGGATATTGTAACCTTGGGCTATGAAAAGTTGTCTTTATATACAAATCAAAAACACAATCTATTTAAAAAAACAAAACTGACAGGGTGAACTTCATCAAAATCAAGTACTTATGCTCCTTCAAAGACACTGAGAGAATGAAGACAAGTCACAGGCAGCATCTTAAGAAGTTAACTATACACTTAACTCTTAGCAATTCTAGTCTTAGGTATCTACCAAAGAGAAAAAGAAAGCAGAAGGCCACAGAATAACACAGATTTTGTAAAAGTTTTATTTGTATTAGCCAGAAAGTGGAAACAAGTCTAATGTGCACCAACAGGACAATCAACAAACTGCAGAATATTCACACAATTGTAATAATCTGTTGATACATCCAGCAACATGCATGAATCTTAAAATAATCATGTTGAGTGAAAGATGAACAATGATTTTGAGACAGGAAGACAAGAATACCATTTTAGAAAAGAACCAAGAAAATGGCCTTGAGCAAGTGGCCTTAACAGGCTTGGTAGAACAAAAGTACCTGAAGGCTTGGGCCTCAGAGCTAACACCCAGAGACCCACAGGAATAAAAAATTATCTCTGTTCCACTGATGTATGTACATATAAATCTGCCACAAAGCAGAATCATTGAACTCCCAGTTCCCTGAAAGATATAATAGGCTGACACACATTCCTAAGTTGTTTTTATAGAAGGAAGACCCCCTCCAGATGAAATCTGCTGACTGCAAGCATGTAGACACCAGAATATTTGAAACCAGAAGGCTGATGATACCTGAAACTTCACCTTGATGCCAACNAAACACCCTGTCTCAGGGTTCCCTGTGTATTTCAAAAAGCTAAAGTTGATAGAGAAATCCAACACAAAAGTAAAAAGAGAAATTGAAGCTAAAGGACTTATAGAGAAGTATACAGAAGAGCTTGGTGGCTTTACATTGAGCGGTTTGCCAAAGGAGGTGGTGTGTGCTCAATCGTGTCCAACTCTTTGTGACCCCACGGCCTGTAGCCTTCCAGGTTCCTCTGTCCATGGCATTTTCCAGGCAAGAATACTGGAGTGGGTTGCCATTTCCTCCTCTAGGGGATCTTCCCGACCCAGGGATAAAACTGGTGTCTCTTGCATCTCCTGCATAAGCAGGTGGATTCTTTTCCAATGAGCCACTTGGGAAGCCCACACTGGATGGTTTGAATAATACATAATAATTAGGACAGACAGTGTAAAACTAGATTTTTTTCCTCTGCTTATTAAAAGTTTAAACAACAGGAAGAAAATATTTTGTGCTATTTCAACTGTCGGTAGTAAATAAATGGATACAGAGAATAAAAATACAGAATGAAATATACAACAATAATATAAGTTGGAGAATGTAATAATTATAAAACAATTTTACCAATATCATAGAATAAGCTAGAAAGTACAAAGTAACATTACATTTTGAGAAGTCAAGAGTGCACATTTTAATTTTTAAGGTAACCACTGAAAGAAGAGCAAAAATCAGCTTTCTGAACCATATATTCCCTATGGAGAAAGAAAAGTGAGAACTACATGCTGATACTGATCACAATGATTTAAAACTAAAATTAACTGCTTAGATCTTTCAGTTCAGTCGCTCAGTCATGTCCGACTCTTTGCAACCCCATGGACTGCAGCATGCCAGGCCTTCCAGTATATCACCAACTCCCAGAGCCTGCTCAAACTAATGTCTATTGAGTCGGTGAACCATCCAATCATCTCATCCTCTGTCGTCCCCTTCTCCTCCTGCCTTCAGTCTTTCCCAACATCAGGGTCTTTTCCAATGAGTCAGTTCTTCACATAAGGTGGCCAAACTACAGGAGCTCAGCTTCAGCACCAGTCCTTCCAATGATTATTCAGGACTGATTTCCTTTAAGCACCTTGCAGTCCAAGGGACTGGTTGTATCTTCTTGCAGTTCAAGAGACTCTCAAGAGTCTTCTCCAACACCACAGTTCAAAAACATCAATTCTTCGGCGCTTAGCTTTCTTTATAGTCCAACTCTCACATCCATACATGACTACTGAAAAAAACCATAGTTTTGACTATACTGACCTTTGTTGGCAAAGTAATGTCTCTGCTTTTTAATATGCTGTCTAAGTTGGTCATAGCTTTTCTTCCAAGGAGTAAGTGTCCTTTGATTTCATGGCTGCAGTCACCATCTACAGTGATTTTGGAGCCCAAGAAAATAAAGTCTGTCACTGTTTCCATTGTTTCCCCATCTATTTGCCATGAAGTGATGGGACCGAGTGCCATGATCTTTGTTTTTTGAATGCTGAGTTTTAAACCAACTTTTTCACTCTCCTCTTTCATTTTCATCAAGAGGCTCTTTAGTTCTTCTTCACCTTCTGCCATAAGGGTGGTGTCATCTGCATATCTGAGGTTATTGATATTTCTCCTGACAATCTTGATTCCAGCTTCTGCTTCATCCAGTCCAGCATTTCACATGATGTACTCTGCACTGATCTTTAGAGGACTGAAAAGTTTATCAAACTATATCCACAGAAGCTAACACATGTTGTCTAAGTATAAAAAAAGGAAAACTGCACTGCAGAACATAGAAATGTTGTCTTTTAGTTTCTGCATTTCCCAGCAATCTCTCAATAACAATCTTTCAAAGTATTACTGTGAAACATCTGTTAATTTCCGTGATCTCTTTGCCACATACACACAAAGTCAATGTTTTCTTTCTCTCAACTGCAAAATATGCAGCACTAAACCATTCTAAAACTGGAAACAAGTGCATGCCAAAAAAAAAAAATGCGCCTCAAACTGTGAAGTAATTGTTTTCCAGAAGCACTTCCATCTTCCCCAAGAAAGCACAAATTAACTAGTACAGAATAGAATATATGACCAATCGGTGATAGACTTGTACAAAAATTCAGGCAACATTGAGGGGCAGCAATTCCTTGGGAATTGCCCTTGAGGTTTTGCCAATTTCTGTCATCATTCTATATAAAGTACCATTCATGTACTTAAGAAACAAGCAAGCAACTAATTTCAATTGATCAAATTAGCATAGATACCCTTCCCCGGGGCTTCCCAGGTGGCCCAGCGGTAAAGAATCCAACCCCCAATGCAGGAGACGCCAAGAAACACATGGGTTCGATCCCTGGGTCAAGAAGATGCCCTGGAGTAGGCAATGGCAAACCGCTCCAGTATTCTTGCCTAGAAAATTCCACAGACAGAGGAGCCTGGCATGCTACAGTCCATGGGGTGGCAAAGAGTCAGACACTACTGAACACACACACACACTTCCACAAAACCAAGTTTTCACACCCCCACCCTAATTCTGTTTCCCATGGCCGACTGGAACATGAGACTTCCTCTGTACACATTTAAAAGCTATATAATAAAACTCTGAAACCTGAAGTGAAAAGTTACATGGCCTATAATTCATTTAGGACAGATGAAATTCTTGACAGATAATACGTGACACTCCATTCAAATCACCCCTTACCAATGAATACTCAAGCATTTTTCTTTGAATTGCCTAAAACCCTGGTAAATTCATAAGCCTTACATTTTAATAATTTGGCTTGTGATTATTTATAGATCAACCTCTTTAAGGAAAAAAATAGGTATCTTCCTTAAAAAAAAACAAAACCCACACAGATCTCTCTGCCTTCAACTCCCTCTATCAGTACCACCTGATGGCTGCTTCTCACATCAGTAAGTTGATGGGTTAAAGCAACGGTCCCCAGCTTTTTTGGCACTAGCGACTGATTCTGTGGAAGACTATCTTTCTACGGATGGGGAAGGGGGGGTTGGGATGATGCAAGTGTATATATTTACTGTGCACTTTATGATTATTATGTCAGCTCCACTTCTTACCAGGTATTGGATCCAAGAGTCTGGGGACCCCTGAGCTAAAGAACTTCATATTTCTACATATCCTATATCTGAGATGAAGGTCAAAATCAAATGCATATAGCAGTATGTCCAAAATCCCCCTCCCCACAGAGACTTTACAATATACTATTGATGAGGAACGCTACCTAACAAAGCAAACCTAAAAATGTAAATGCTAGATCTTATTGACTGATGAATAACAGAAACAGACTTGGCCAAAGAATGATAGTGTCTTCTCTGGAGCTATGAACACCAACAGGTCCAGCACTGCTGGCCCCAAACTGGCAGCCTAAATGAGGGCAGAACACCAACTGCCTGCAGCTTCATACCAGAAATTCTTAGTATCTACCCCTGATTCTCTCTGAGCCCTGAAATTTAACTTATCACATCCTTCCAATGCTGCTAGCATAAACTGAGGGGACATCTAGACCCTGCCTAAGGAGTACTGTCCTTTTAGGCAGCCTAAACACCTTGTATGCAACAGGTACATATAATGCTGTGTCAACAAAAAACATTTGTAATGATATACTGTTTCTAAGTATCTGTAATGTCTTATACAACTAAATACTGATTTTCCCTACAAAAGATTTCTTTCTTTCAATTACAATAAACACCCAAGTTTAAAAAGAGGGTTTTTTAAATTAGGAAATTAATATTAGATATTCAATGTTATAACATTGATATTTCAAGAAAAATAAAAGTTAAAAAATTATAATCAATAATTCAAATATCTATTGAGCATCTACAACTAATAATAAAGCAGACATTTTCTCAGCCCTAGACAAAACAGACAAAAATATCAGCCCTCATGGAGCTTGCATTCTAACACAGAGATATGCAAACAAGACAAAGTGTATAGTTTATCAGCATGTTAGATGGTGCTAAGAGTTATGGATAAAACAAAGCAGGGAAGGCAAGAGGATATCTGGGGGACAGGACTGCCAACTGTAAGTGAAGTTGTCAAAAAAGGAATCCCGGAGAGATAGTGATGTGACACTTGAGTAAGCAGACAGAAAACAAACCATGCAGCTAAAAAAAGCACGAATGGTAGAGGGAACAAGGAAGAAGAAAATATACAAAGCCCCTGAGGTGAGAATGTTCAAGGAAAATGTTCAAAGAAAATCAAGAATGTCAGTGTGACTGGAATAGAATATGCAAGAGGGTACAGTAGGTGAAGTCAGAAGGTAACACAGGGACAACCATGTAAGATCATGGTTAAGAGTTTTGGATTTTTCCCTTTAAGAAAAAGAAAAAGCAAAGTCAGAGTGTTCTGTGCTACAGTGTTGAGAGCACACTGAAAAAGGCAAGGCCTGGAGTAGGGAAACCAAGAAAGAAACAGGAAAGAAATGAAAGTGACTTGGACCAGAGCGGATATTAAAAGACGAAAGTTTGGGGAGGAAATCCAGGTACAGTTTTAGACATGTTAAAAAGTTCTAGGTGCCTGATTAGACATCCAATAGAGCTATCAAGTAGGATGCAGGATGTGAGTCTGGAATTAAGGGAAGAAGCCTGTGCCACAGATTTAAAAGTACTATGAATTAGACTGAGCATCACCAAGGAAGTTAGAATTTATAGGGAAAAAAAAGTCTAAGGGATGAGTCTGAGGAAAATTCGGAGAGTCAGCAACGGGATCGAAAAATAACCAGTGGGGTTAGAGGAAAACCAGAAGAGAAGATATTCTGGAAATAACAAAGAAAGAATTTCAAGTCAATAACAATAATAGGTAAAGGAAGATAACGATCACTGAACTAAGCAACGTGGAAGTCACCTTTAACACTGACAAGGTGTTTTAAGACTATCATGTAAGAAAATGTTTAACTCAGTACCTGTAAAGCTTTATGCTCCTTTTGAAGTTCTTTTATTTTATTCTGTTGCTGGCAAACCCTATTTACAGATTCATCCTCCATTTCACCAATTTTGGACTTCACACTCTCCATAATTTGTTCCAAGTCATTAGCTCGTTGTTCCTGATCTGCAGCTCGGCTTTGTTGTTGCTGAAGTTCATTTCTAGTAACAGACATACAATTCCTTCTCTTAGTAATAAAAACAAATCATATCAACCAACATATCCATCTAACAACATAATGACTTTGTTAAATTTTTTTGCATTCTTAAAATTTCTATAACACAAACCAACAGAGGAAACATAGGGTATCATTATATATCAACGCTACTACCAAAAGATTTACCTACTAAAAATATTTTTTACTATTTAATCAATGGAAAATTAAATTTCAAGATTCTTTTCAAGCGATTATTTTTAAAATGCATATCGTTTGTTCACATACAATTCAAAACAGATTTTTTCCATTCTCTTACTTAAGCTGTTTATTAGTTTCTATGAGCTCCTGGATCATGTTCTGTTGACGTGATGTTTCCTCCATCATTGTTTTCAAATTCTCCCTCATTGTTTGTGATAACTGTTTGTCAAAAATGATGAGATCTATATTTTCTGAAATGTAATATACATAGTAAAAATGACGATAAGAAAAAAATTAAGATTGAAAAATTTTAACAAAAAAAGAAGCTTTTTATCTTAAGGAGCAAGAATATAATTTGATTACCTTTCATATCTGTTCTTTTGACTAAAGACAAAGGCTTTAAGCCATGCATCATCAACAGCACATTTATGTTTTCCCATTCTGCTTCTTTCCGCTACAATTACAAGGAGGTAGAAAAGGATCAATGTGAAGATATAGGGTGAAGAAAGGCATTCTTATAAATAATTTCCTTTGTTTTCAGAAAAGACTTTTTCTCCAAAAGCTTTAATATGAATTTTTACACACACATAATGATTAAAATTAAAACTGATTTGTTTCTAACAAAATTAGACTAAAAAGGATGCAAATAAGCATGGATAGTTACATTATATCTGGAATTACATAATTCCAGAGCACACATATAGGTCTTAATGAACAAATTAAAAGCCTTATAATTTCAGTGAATTAAACAGACCTTAAGTTTCTTATTTAACTGAACTTTTTATTTAAGTTTTTTATTTAACTGTCACCTTAACAATGACCAGGGTCACAACAAAATCAAACATATCTGACTGGAGAAGCCAATAACTTAGGTAGTTCCTTGTATAATGGACAAGGTCTAACTATGAAAAGGAGTCTGTCCATCTAGGTAACTGATTCTAGTAGAAATATTCCGAAAGACACTCTTTAAGTTTTGTATCCCTGATTCTAAATATGTATTTACCCCATGAAACTGAGAAAGGAACTCTCTCCAGATTAAAAAAGATAAAACCTAACAATAAATAAAAACTTGACAATGGGGAAGAAAAGAACATAAAATACAATAGGAACAAAAACAGATATTTTTTAAATGACATTTAAATCCATAATATTAACATCAACAACAGCTTCTTAAGTACAATGATCAATTTTGAAATCAAGTGTGTGAGATACTTTGCATTCTTTTTAAAAGACCTTAAGTATCTTATATAGTATAACATAAGTATATTTGTAAAAAGGTGATTTGAGTAAATTTTCAATTTACTTAAATGCTTGAAAAGTGTCTAATATATTTTATTAGTGAGTAGCATGCAAATATTATAATAATGTTAATATTAATAATTTGGAGAATTTTCCCCCTCCCTCTCTCCTAGAAAATTTTTAAAAGTTCAAATCAAAGTATTACTCTTCACATCCAATGGAGAAGGAAATGGCCACCCACGCCACTAATCTTGTGTGGAGAATTCCAGGGACAGAGGAGCCTAGCAGGCTACTTTGCAGTCCATGGGGTTGCAAAGAGTCAGGCATGACTAAGCAATTATCACACTCACATCCAAATTCCCCTCAGACATTAAAAAATCTACCAAAATAGATAACAAGGATACACTGTATAGCCAGAGAATTATAACCATTATCTTGTAATAATGTTTAATGGAGTAAAATCCGTAAAACTACTGATTCACTGTTACACACCTGAAGTTAATACTGTAAATCAACTATACTTCAATTTTAAGTTTCATTCTTTTTTTTTTTTTTTTTTATTAGTTGGAGGCTAATTACTTTACATCATTACAGTAGTTTTTGTTATACATTGATATGAATTAGCCATGGATTTACATGTATTCCCCATCCCAGTCCCCCCTCCCACCTCCCTCTCCACCCGATCCCTCTGGGTCTTCCCAGTGCACCAGGCCCGAGCACTTGTCTCATGCACCCAACCTGGGCTGGTGATCTGTTTCACCCTAGATAATATACATGTTTCAATGCTGTTCTC